GCTCCTGCGCCGCCTCCTCCCCGGGCACCCAGAGAAAAACCCCAGATTGGGCGTCCTCCCCAGACGTGATTTCGCCCCGCCCGCTTCCCCGGAGTCAGCGTGGCCTGGCGGGGAACCTGCTCCCCCCGGGTGGGGACAGAGATGCGAGCGCGACCGCAGCGTTGGGGATGTGTGGGCCGTGACGTCCCGAGGCGGCTGCTGTGGTGTGAGCCACGTCTGTGTGTATGTGTGGGCGCGTGTGGAGGTGTGCATGTGTATGTGTGCGTATGTGTGTATGTATGTACGTGTATGTGTGTATCTATTGTATGTATGTGTGTATATATTGTCAATGGAAGAAAACGACAAGACAAGTCTCTAATCATTTTAGGAGATTTATTTGCCAAAGTTAAGAACGCACCCAGGAGACAAGTCTATGCCTTTCTCCAAAGATAAGATTTTGAGGGCTTCAGATTTAAAGGGGAAAGGGCGGAGTATTGACAAGCATAGATTTTTCACAAACAAAAGGGGGCAGAGGAGATATGTGGGGAATCTGCATTTTACGTAAGGTAACGCAGACAAAGTGGGGTAGGGGAACAATCAGATGGGCTAGGGTGACTGCACCTGTAAAAATAAGCTATCAATTTGCATTGCCATGGTTACGTTTTATTTTTGTTTTTACTTTTTTGAAATGGAGTCTCCCTCTGTCGCCCAGGCTGGAGGGCGTGATGTCCGCTCACTGCAACCTCCACCTTCCGGGTTCAAACAGTTCTCCTGCCTCAGCCTCCTGAGTAGCTGGGATTCCAGGTGAGTGCCACCACACCCTGCTAATATTTGTGTTTTTAGTAGAGACGGGGTTTCCCCATGTTGGCCAAGCTGGTCTCAAACTCCTGACCTCAAGTGATCCACCTGCCTCGGCCTGCCAAAGTGCTGAGATTACAGGCGTGAGCCACAGCGCCCGGCCACCATGGTGAAATTTGAACAGCTCACCAGGAATCTCCTTGTGGGCAAAATATGGGGGAGGCCTGTAGCCTTTCATCTTGTAGCCATCTTATTTAGGAACCAAAAGGGGGAGGCAGGTAGGTTTGCATGACCCAGTTCCCAGCTTGACTTTTCCCTTTGGCTAAATGAGTTTGGGGTCCCAAAATTTAATTTCCTTTCACATTTCCCCCCTTTTTTTCTTTAAAATCTTTTGGAGAAAAGCATTTTAAAAACGAATTGGGTTCCTGGCCTCAGGTTGCTGCTTCCTTCTTTTTTCCCACCTGCTGGTTTGTCGTTGCTAGGATGGTTTATTCCTAGAAGTTCAGGTCCTACATCATTAGGAATGCTCATTCCTAGGAGGTCACGTCCCACGAAGATAAAAAACAGAGAGAAAAGGAAAAAAGAAAGAGGAAAAAAAGAAAAATGTATAGGGACCTAGGCCAGACCTATAGCAACAAAAGGAGGGCAAAACTGGAAGCTGGGTCAGGCTATATTACTACCTCCTCAACTACTGCAATTCTCTGGGCAATCATTATCCTAGCCCTTTCAGCTACACGTGGGCTTATTTGCAAACATATACCGTAACAACATTATAAGCAAAAACAGGACAGATCAGAAATTATTCTTATAAGTACCAAGTTCCCCAGAATCCAAACCAACTGCTCAACCAATCAGTGAGGGTTTTGGATCTGACAGGTTGATTATCTGGGTTTTCACATCAGTCATAAGCCAGGTTATGTTCTTCGATATCTGGAATATACACACAACATTCCGTTGTTATGATGGTGCATGTGCCCCCTTGTGCTGCTGTTAACATATCTAAAGTCATATGATTTTGCAGCACAGCTTTCCTCATAAGCATGACCCCATCGTTTAGGGCCTTTTGGGTGCAATTTGTTAAGGCTTCTGTATCCCATATAACATCTTCAATAGCGATCTGTGGTACAAAGCTTGAAGTTAAATGATCATACCGTTGGAATACTGAATGTGTCCAATGAGATTGTAAATGAAAAAGGTTTGCTGTTTTTGGCAGGGTCTGCATTACTCATCCTTGTGCCCAAGCATAACCTAGGGAGCATCGTCTCAACCACCCTGGAGGTGACCACAGCCATAAATTAGTGCCAGATAGCCAATATGTCCCATTTGGAGCTAGCCAGTAAATACTTGGTTGCTGCACCCAGTCGGTGGTATGCTAGGCAGTGTCTCGTAATATGGCAATGTAGTCACAACATTTCTCCTGCTGTCCACCACATATCTCTTCCTACTGTTTGGCCACAGGTCTTGGGTGGGATTTCTTTGCTCCCAGCACAAAGGAGCATTTTGGCTGGGTTGGCCAAACGAAGGGGTGAACCAGATAAATCCATCCCAAGTTTGCATTATTCCATTTTGAAAAGGCCATTGTTTGGGGCATGGTCACCACTTTTAGTTGGGGAAATGCTAAAGTGAGAGCTAATGAGCTGGTCCTTTCCATTGAAAAGCTTTTCCCATGTCCCTTGTTCTTAAGAGTGTTTTTATTTATTCATTTATTTTGACATGGAGTCTCACTCCATCGCCCAGGCTGGAGTGCAGTGGCGTGATCTTGGCTCACTGCAACCTCCAACTCCCGGGTTCAAGCAATTCTTCTGCCTCAGCCTGCCAAGTAGCTGGGATTACAGGCATGCGCCACCACACCTGGCTAATTTTTGTATTTTTAGTAGAGTCGGGGTTTCACCACGTTTGCCAGGCCTGGTCTGAAACTCCTGATCTCAAATGATCCACCTGCCTCGGCCTCCTAAAGTGCTGGGATTACAGGCGTGAGACACTGCGCCTGGCCAAGAGTTTTTTTAATGGGCCGACTATATATATTGTCTTTTGTTATGCCAGCACAAGGAATACCAGACTGTGTTTGTGATGTAATAAATTTTTGGTATTCTATCCAGTCCTGACCTTGGAAGGAGGATACCCACTATGGGAGGCTGGAGCCACCGGAAAGAGGCGTGAGTCCACATATCCAGCAGGTGTTATGTAATCTGTCTGCATAATCCTGAGCCCGTTGTAGAAATAGGTTTGTTTCATGGGTGGCAGTGGCAAGAAGGTGAAGGGATACATGATTAATAGCAAAGTTTTGAAATTCATCTTAGTTACTAAAGGGTGTTAAATCAGACAAGGCAAGTCCCCGTTCTTTATTAGACAGCAGATGACAGTATATCTACGACAATAATTGTAATGGTTATTGTACAGTAAACATAGGCATTTCTTTGTGTACAGGCCTGGTCCTGTGTCTTGGGTTTAAGCAGTCCACAACAGCTGCTGTCTGCTTCTCATCCTGGGTTGAAGGTCAATGTTTAGTGAAATGGAGGCAAAGGTCTTTGGTGGGAGTTACAGTCCACTCAGGAGGTTGGGCCTTAAGATGACAGATGTGAAGCCATGAGTCTACACCTTCTAATTTTTTTTTTTTTTTTTTTTTTTTTTTTTTTTTTTGAGGATGGAGGGCAGTGGCCGGATCTCAGCTCACTGCAAGCTCCGCCTCCCGGGTTCCCGCCATTCTCCTGCCTCAGCCTCCCGAGTAGCTGGGACTACAGGCGCCCGCCACCTCGCCCGGCTAGTTTTTTGTATTTTTTAGTAGAGACGGGGTTTCACCGTGTTAGCCAGGATGGTCTTGATCTCCTGACCTCGTGATCCGCCCGTCTCGGCCTCCCAAAGTGCTGGGATTACAGGCTTGAGCCACCGCGCCCGGCCGAAAGGAATTCTTTATTAGATGGCTTTTCCAATAGACAAAATCTCTGGGTTGCAGACTGTGACCAGGCACCCTATCTTCATGGAGCACACTATGAAAGGAATTCTTTACCAAATCTTGGCTTTTCTTTAAGGCGATAAGTCCCTCACAATATTGCAATATAATCTCCCTTGAGAAAAGTTGGGTTACGTTTGTTCCCATACACGTGGGCCTCCATTATTATTTCTTAAGGACGCAGGTGTTTTCCAAAAGGGGTGGATTGGAGTTTAAGCAGCACTAGGGGGAGTGCTTTGGTCCAGGGGAGGTGAAATGCTGGAGGCGAATTTAGCCAGTTGTGCCTCTCCACTAGGCCTGAGGATTGCGGATGGTAGGCACAATGGAAATGTTAAAATATGGGCCAAATTTTACAAATATTTTGAATAACCTGGCCAGTAAAGTAAGTTCCCCTGTTGCTGTGAAGTTCACAAGGGACTTGCCACAGTGGGATAGTTTTTTCTCGTAGGATTTTCCAACTGCTACCGCTGTTGCTTGCCTGCAGAGAAAGCTTTTTAACCCAATGGGAAAACACACAGAGCATTACTAAAACATACTTGTAATCTTGAGGTGATAGCAGCCAAATAAAATCAAGCTGCCATACCTCAAAAGGTCCAGCTGGAAGGGGAAAATGACCCTGGGCGGCTTTCCTTTATATTTGGGACAAATAACACATCAGGAGTAAAACTTTTGTGCCCCAGTGAAGGACGGCTTCCAGAAATACTGTTTATACCACAGTGAAGGGCGGCTTCCAGTAATACCGTTTATACCACAGTGAAGGGCGGTTTCCAGTAATACCCCGTTTCACCACGGTGAAGGGCGGTTTCCGGTAATGTTGTTTATACCACAGTGAAGGGCGGTTTCCAGTAATACTGTTTATACCACAGTGAAGTATGGTTTCCAGTAATGTTGTTTATACCACAGTGAAGGGCGGTTTCCAGTAATACTGTTTATACCACAGTGAAGGGCGGTTTCCAGTAATACCGTTTATACCACAGTGAAGGGCGGCTTCCAGTAATACCGTTTATACCACAGTGAAGGGCGGCTTCCAGTAATACCGCGGCGTCTTATTACCCAGTGAAGGGCGGTTTCCAGTAATACTGTTTATACCACAGTGAAGTATGGTTTCCAGTAATACTGTTTATACCACAGTGAAGGGCGGTTTCCAGTAATACTGTTTATACCACAGTGAAGGGCGGCTTCCAGTAATACTGTTTATACCACAGTGAAGTATGGTTTCCAGTAATACTGTTTATACCACAGTGAAGGGCGGCTTCCAGTAATACCGTTTATACCACAGTGAAGGGCAGTTTCCAGAAATACTGTTTATACCACAGTGAAGGGCGGCTTCCAGTAGTACCGTTTATACCACGGTGAAGGGCGGCTTCCAGTAATACCGTTTATAGCGGGATATCATTTTATCTGGATTACAATGGGTTAGATTATGGACATATTCCATAAGGGGCACCTGGCATCCCACTGGAATAATGGGTTATTAGGTCCATACTATATTTCAGTTTCAGGAGAAAAATATCTCCCTGACCGTTTCCAAGCAGATTTCTCTTTGTAGGAGCTATGCTCTGCGTTTCTTTCACCATGTTTCTAAGTGTTTCGGGTTTTATGGCCATTTCCTGGATCGGGGCTGGTGGCTCGGGGGCTGCTTTTTTAGCTGTGGCATCAGCCGATTGTTACCCTTTCTGTGGTGTCTAATTTTGAGTGACTGGGATTTTTATAATTGCCAAACATTTGGGTTTTAGAATAGCTTCTAACAGCTCTGATACTTACTGTACATTTTTTATGGGTTGGCCTGAGGAGGCTAAATATCCTCTGTCTTTCCATAGCATCCAAAGTCATGGAAACCCCGAAAGCATAGCAGCTGTCAGTGTAAATGTTTGCAGCCTTATATTTTGCCAGTTGACAAGCTTGGGTCAGGGCAATCAACTCGGCCACTTGAGATGATCTCACTTGGGGAAGAGGACCAGCTTTAATTACCTCTAGTAAGGAAACCAGAGCATATCCTGCTCCAAAATTTCCATCCTCTCCTCTTCAATAAGAGCCATCTGTATACCATTCTAGTTTAGCATTATCCAGTGGCATCTCTTGCAGGTCTGTCCTGGAGGTGAGAAGTCAGTCAGTCATCAGAACACAGTCACGAGGGGCCTTGTGGGAAGGGCCTGGCAAGAGAGTGGCCGGATTAAGATTATTATACTGGGAAGTAGTAATATTGGAAGATGGTACAAGCAAAATTTGATAAGAAGCTAACCGGTTGACAGACACACGTTGAGTATGATGAGAGTTTAGAAGGGTCTCAAGAGAATGTGGCACAGAAATGGTAAGGGGCGAACCCATAATTATTTCTCCAACAGACGTGTACGGAAGGGCCATGGTTGCTATTACTCTCACACAAGGAGGCAACCCTCTCGCCACCGGGTCCAGGTGTTGGCTATAATAGCCTAGAGGTCTCTGATGATCACCATGTTTCTGGATCAGTACCCTGGAGGCATTACCTCCAGTTTCGTGTATGAAAAGGGAGAAAGGCAGTTTGTAGTTTGGGTGCCCTAAGGCTGGGGCATTAGTTAGAATTTCCTTTATTTGTTGTACAGCTGATTGTCCCTCAGGACTCCACAAGACAGGATCGAGTTGTTTATTTTTTAGGTATGCCTACAGAGTTTGAGTCATAAAGAATTTGGAATCCAGTTTCTACAATAGCCAGGCAGGACCCAGACTCCTCTAAATTGTTTATTAGTGACAGGCATTGGGAAAGCTAAAATTCTTCTCACTCTGTCAGGGTTAATCCTCAGTCCTTTGGCTGAGATAATATGCCCCCAAATACTTAACTTGCAGCAAGCATAGCTGAAGTTTGTCTTTGGACACTTTGTGTCCCTTGGTGGCTGTTTGAGTAAATATAGACTATCTTCATGGGAGGAAGATGGTGTGTCTGAACAAAGGAGAAGGTCATCTACATACTGAATGAGTGTTGAGCCCTGGGGAAAAATTAAATCCTCTAAATCAGCCTTTTTTTTTTTTTTGAGACGGAGTTTTGCTCTTGTTGCCCAGGCTGGAGTGCAATGGCACAATCTCGGCTCACAGCAACCTCCACCTCTCAGGTTCAAGTGAATCTCCTGCCTCAGCCGCCCTAGTAGCTGGGATTACAGGCATGTGCCACCACACCCAGCTAATTTTGTATTTTTAGTAGAGATGGGGTTTCTCCATGTTAGTCAGGCTGGTCTTGAACTCCCAACCTCAGGTGATCCGCCCGCCTCAGCCTCCCAAAGTGCTGGGATTACAGGCTTGAGCCACCGCGCCCGGCCTACTTCTGGTGTTAACAGGAAAATTGGGGAAGCTAAGAGGAGATTTATCATTTCCACTCTTTATTCCAACGTCTTCTCTTCTCCCTTAATATTTCTTCCTCTCTCTCCATTTCATTTTCCTGGTCACAAGATGATGTTTTAACATTACTGGTAGTAAATTGTGGTACACTGTCAGGACATTTTTTTAATGTGGTATTTTTGGTCCTCTGGCTCCAATTCTTAAAAAGAGTTCACCTTTTGATGAAAAAGATATATGATGAGAAAGGCATTATGGATGTTGAGGAGATCATGGCCCAAAAGATTGACAAGGGCCGTAGGGCGTTTAAGAAACATGTGGGTCGGCCGGGCGCGGTGGCTCAAGCCTGTAATCCCAGCACTTTGGGAGGCCGAGACGGGCGGATCACGAGGTCAGGAGATCGAGACCATCCTGGCGAACACGGTGAAACCCCGTCTCTACTAAAAATACAAAAAAACTAGCCGGGCGTGGTGGTGGCGCCTGTAGTCCCAGCTACTCGGGAGGCTGAGGCAGGAGAATGGCGTGAACCCGGGAGGCGGAGCTTGCAGTGAGCTGAGATCTGGCCACTGCACTCCAGCCCGGGCCACACAGCGAGACTCCGTCTCAAAAAAAAAAAAAGAAACATGTGGGTCCTCCTGAGCATGTCACACTTAGAGCTGTGGTAGGGGAGCGGAACCCAGTGAAACGGGAAGGTACAGGTTTGTACTTAAAACGTAAGATTGTTTAGTACCTACCCTGTTAACTTTTTTATTACTCCAAGGAATGGGGTTTCTAAATAAGCTGGGATTTATCAGAGATATAGTCATGCCTGTGTCAATAAAGGCAGTTGTCAGCTCATGGTTACTATATTAATCTCCCGCAATTTTTTTTTGTCAGGGTAGAATATTTGGAGACATAAAACTCCTGTACTTCCTCGGAGCATCCCTAGTCTTCCTGAGTTGCATTTTCCTGCCTTTTCTTTCATTTCAGGCTAAGGCAATCCCTTTTAAGGGGTCCTGGACTTTTGCAGCAGCAACAGACTGGGAGGGAAGGGTTCTCAGATCTAGAGAGCTTAAAAATCTTTTTGGGGCTGATAGGTTTAGAAGTTAATTGCTTTAGCTGTACATGCATAAATCTAGCAATCTTCTGTTTTTCATTTTTTATCACAGTGTGGGATAACTGGTCAGCTAAGTTAACTAGTTCATTAGTTCTAGCTATGGCTCAATTTATCATGTGGCATTTTACAAGCATGGCTAAATCATCATCTAGTCTGTTTAATAAATTTGCATTTAATAAGGTATCATTTTTATTGTTTTCAAAGCAATCAGCTGACATCCCACAATATTGTCTAAAAGTTGTTTTTTTTTTTTTTTTTTTTTTTTTTTGAGACGGAGTCTCGCTCTGTCGCCCGGGCTAGAGTGTAGTGACCGGATCTCAGCTCACTGCAAGCTCCGCCTCCCGGGTTTACGTCATTCTCCTGCCTCAGCCTCCCGAGTAGCTGGGACTACAGGCGCCCACCACCTCGCCCAGCTAGTTTTTTGTATTTTCAGTAGAGACGGGGTTTCACCGTGTTAGCCAGGATGGTCTCGATCTCCTGACCTCGTAATCCACCTGTCTCGGCCTCCCAAAGTGCTGGGACTACAGGCTTGAGCCACCGCGCCCGGCCGTCTAAAAGTTTTATCAGAACATGTGAAACAATCTAAAACGAATGCATTTGGGTTCTGGCAGCATTGCTGGATTTTTTTCCAATCCACAACCCTTTGGAACACTGAAGGAATAGTATTTAACAGTCATTGCTCGTTCCCATGCATCTTTACGCCTGTCTTCTGGATGTGGTGGGGGCTGGTTGTTGTGGCTCTACTGGGCATTCAGGGGTCAGATCTGTTACAGGGTCTGACCGTGGTGCTTTTTCTAGCTGTTCTTTTGCTGTAGCTTCTGAGACCAACATGTATGTGGACCAGCTGATAAAGGTCTGAATGACTTGGGTCCTGGGTTCTAATAATGAGCTCAAACTCTTGGGCAAACCTGACTGGATCTTTCTGGGGGTCAGGAAATTCTTTATACCTCATAATTCAGCCTTTGACCAAGGTTGGTAGACAATCACTGGGGCTCCCCTACCTGTCACCAGTTGTTCCCAGAATGGGGCGATCATGAGAGAAGTCCCCGCAGGGTCCCCTTTTCCACATCTTCCAGGTGAGACGCTGCCACTGGGGCTGTCGGGGAATCGGCAGCAGCTGGGGCCCTTGAAGTCCGAGTCCTGACAGTCTTGTTGGGCGAGTGTTAAACATGCAGGAGGAAAGTGGGACAGACCTGGTGTGGGGAGGTTCAGAGAGGTCAGGGTAGAGTGGGAGTGTAGGTGGAGGTGCCAGCGAGGAATAAGGGACTTCAAGGATTTCTTTAAGAGAGGGAAAAGATTAGAGGGTTCTTGATTAGCATTTCTAAGTTGCTTGTTTGCCTCCTATAGGGAGATGAGGTGGTCTTCACTCCTTTTGCTACTCTCCAGATACCCCTGAAAGTAACTCTCCCATTCTGGTTGCTTATTTGTTGTGCCTGCATTTTCCACCCTAGTTCTCAGTTACACTAATTCGGGCATCTCAAAAGATCCCCATTTAGGTCATTGTAACTTAGAATCTGCTTTAGTTATAGCGGTCCACTTATTTAAATATTTGCATGATGATTTGCCATAAGTATTTTGCATATAGCCGGCCAGAGTTTCTAAAGGGGGAATTTTGTGTTCTGCAGCTGCTGGGGTCTTAGAGGACTTGTTCCCCATAATTTAGAGCTCCTCTTCAGATATGATGAAGTCAGGACATGTGGCTGCCCCAAAATGTGCTGCTTGCAGACCTAGCTTTTCCGGGCCATTACCTCCTGAACCAGTTTGGTCTACCTGTGTCACGGCTACCTGGCACAAGTGTGTCAGGGGCTCAAGTTGCAGGAGGTGTTGGTTCCTTATATGCACCTGCTGGCTGAGATGAGACCCTAAATATGCTCTTCTGAAAGAGGAAACCTATTTGGAGCTGCTGCACGTCTTAGGGAGTGTTTCTCCCAGACACCCTCAGGTGATTCTCAGTTGCCTGAGAATGCCCTGAGAGGCTGAGGGGAGCAAGGTGCTCTATTTCTTCAGCATGGAAGATTCCACACTCATGAGCCAGAGGGTTCAGAGTTGGTCAAATCTGATTGGGGAAAGAACCAAAACATATACACACAAACGCACACACAAAGCAGAGACAAGCAACAAAAATAGTTAAGCCAAACTAACAACGATCCACAAAATATACAATTTCTGAGCACTCCAAGTTTAAGTTGGAAGTTAGCACCAGCTGGTTGTTAGTGCTAATTTTCGTCATTTCATCATTTAAATTTGCAAGACAGAATTCCAAACCAGTTTCTCACCCATGGATGGGACCCAAGCTGGAGAGTGCTCTCTGCCAGTGCAGAAGCAGATGAACTCACCTTCCATGACGGAAGCCAGTGGAGAAACTCCCACAAAAAGGGAATTTCTTTTTAACAGCGAATAAACCTCAAACCCCCCCCCCAGCTGAGAAACATTGGAAGATCAGGGATCCCTGGAGGAAAGAGGTCCCAGACTTCGGCAGATTGTCCTGTTGGTTTGGGCTACAAGGTGCCTGAGCCAGTACCAAGTACTAAAAGGCAAAACTGCCCCAGGCCCGGCCACTTTCACTCAGGTCCCTTTGTGGTTACCAGATGTCAATCAAAAAAAGTGACAAGACAGGCCGGGCGCGGTGGCTCACGCCTGTAATCCCAGCACTTTGGGAGGCCGAGGTGGGCAGATCACGAGGTCAGGAGATCGAGACCATCCTGGCGAACACGGTGAAACCCCATCTCTACTAAAAATACAAAAAATTAGCCGGGTGTGGTGGCGGTGCCTGTAGTCCCAGCTACTCGGGAGGCTGAGGCAGGAGAATGGCGGGAACCCGGGAAGCGGAGCTTGCAGTGAGCCGAGATCGCGCCACCGCACTCCAGCCTGGGCGACAGAGCGAGATTCCGTCTCACAAAAAAAGTGACAGGACAAATCTCAATCATTTTAGAAGATTTATTTGCCAAAGTTAAGGATGTGCCCAGGAGACAGGCCTATGCCTTTCTCCAAAGTTGACTTTGAGGGCTCCAAATTAAAAGGTGAAAGGGTGGGTTATTGAGAAGCACAGAATGCTGAGATCTTGCTGGGTAAAGTTAGTCAGTGTCTTCGTAATCAGGAATGTAATTCAAAAAGTTATTGTTTTTGTAACTTCCTAGAAGCAGGGAATTCAATATTTTAGTCTAAATTTTTACCTAGTAAGGTCCCTTCTATCCCTCAACAATAAATATTCATGGTAACATATGGGAGGATATTGCAACATGTGTGAATATCCTCTTCTCCATTTGGTTCTTTTTTCCCTCATATAAAATTTCAGCATTGTTCAATAACTTTAAACAGTTCCTTTATAAGACAAGGTAATTTTCTTATGCTGGTTGCATGGGGGGTGGGGAGCATGCTATGGAGACATCCTATCAAACCCCAAACCTCTCTAACTTTTGCCTGAAAAGAATTTGGAGTCAAGAGTTTTTACCTAACATTTGCAACCCTACAGCGCCACTTAGTGGAATAGGATTTTCCTCCGTGGGGAGCCCTGTCCGCCCTGTTCACCATACTTCTAGTTTCCTAATTATTTTTCCTTTTACATCCCTCTATCAGTGATCAGGTAACATG